TGTTAATTATGATTCAAAATGTGTAAATACACTGTTGGTTACTTGTTTGCCTTTGGTTATTAATGAATATTAGACATTTCCTGTAGTTACCTAAGTCACTTATGCCCTTCTTGCCGTGAGTCGAGGAAAGGGTTGTATACATTTATGTAATTTATAAAAGAAATTTATCTTATTCTTTTGATTCACTTAAGCCAGATTATAGTGCGATTTAATAAATTCTATTCATCCATGTGCTTGTCTCCTATATTAAACCTAAGATGAATAATATGCGTGCTGTAGGTAAGCGTAAAGATATTTGTGAAAGATGTACAAAGTGTAAGGGAGATAGCTGGTAAAGTATAAACTCTACAACAAAATATATATGGTTTTGAATATCAAATAAATTATTTTTTGAGTTTGCTATAGATTTATAATATAACACTTTATGTATTAAACTATAAATTATACTTTTATTATCCTTATACTTATTTTTCTAGCCCTTTAATTCACACGAACCTTCCCCCCTAAACCCACAGGCTCCCAATCAGCTGAGGAGGTTGCATAAGGAGGCTGGCACTGATCTCGACCAAATTAAACTACGTCGTCGGGCCCAGGCGAGGCGACAGCGCAGTTGGGAAAGTACAACGTGTCTAAGTGGGTTGTCGAGGAACAGAAACGGTGAACATGGCTGCTGCAACGAGGACTCTCCTACGCTCGCTGTACTTGAGGTCGTGTCCTGAGCTGCTGTCGAGGGCCCAGAGCTCCGTCGCTGCGCCTCAGCCCCAGGCGACGACCAGTATCCTTTGCTTTCGCTGGGGTTTGGAGGAAGTGTGGGTTCGCGACGTGACGGGGTATTTTTTTGGGAGGGGGTAATTGGTTTTGGGGGGGTTTGAATGGATTTTTTTTTTGGGGGGTGAGGGGGTGGGGGGAGCTATAGGGTTGAAAGAAGGATTGGCTCAGGGAATTGTACATTTTTGGGTAAATCTCTAATGTATGGATGCACACATTACAGATTAAATCACGACTTCGTTTTGGCATGCCCTTTTGGTCACTGCCTGACTCGAGTATTGATAGTGGGGCTCTTCCCCCCCCAATGCCCCACGGGAAATATTGTCATCTCTTCCATAGGCATGGCAAGCTAGAACTGAAGCTTGGGAGGACCACGTAGGTTCTTTTCATAAATTTTACCTTTTTTGTGGCATTACTGTTCGTTTTTGCAGTTCTTGCAATGATGACTGCAACCTTTTGTCCCCTACAAGAATATCATGGGCAATATACCCTACCTTAGTGCATCCATGCTATAAAGATGAATCCATTTATAAAATCATTTTATTACTTTTAAGCCATTGGTATAATTATTTAGAAAAAAAAATGTATTTCAATGATACTAACTAAACAAGTTTTGATGGATTGTATTTGATGTATGCTTCCTGACATGGCAGTTCTTGTGTGGGTAAATAAAACCTGGCAACAGCATTAGGTGCAATAAGAGTGACATGACATCAGGCATATGCCACAGTCACCTTACCTACAAGCATAGAAGTAAAAACCTCCACCACATAAATTTTGGTAAGATGGAGCTTTTAGCCTCCCTAATAATTCATTGTCATTGAGGAACCAAGCCATGTTCTTCCTTGCCAGAATATGTAGGTGGAGGTTTGCTTGCCCTTGCAGCACTGGCACTACAGAGGCCATAGCAATTTCCTGGAAGCTGTGCCAGTGCCATGACAGCCTTGGCACAACCACCAGCTCTTGGAAGATTGACAGTGTAGAATGCCTAATAAATAACATCAATTACTATATCTGGACAACAGACATCATAAGCACTCTTTCAGTATCACATTTGTTAGTTTTGGTGGCACACAACTTTTCTGTAAGATTACCCTCTTCAGTTCAGCTTGTATGATGGTCAAGTATATAATTTTACAGTACTTATTTGCTCTGTATGCTCTCTTGAAGATGTTACTTCATGATTTTGCTTGCAAAGGTGGGTGTGGGAAATGAATCCATTCCTGTTGCAAAGGGAGATTACAATGATGAAGAGTTTCAGTAAAGGTCTGAATAGACATTGCTCTGTAAATAAAATAGTATAAAAGGCCAAATGAATATGTTAATCAATTACAGCTAATGTTTTTATTTTTGTTTCTTTAGAATTTTTTCTTTATATTTATATGCAGGGAATTCATTTGTAAAGATAGTTATCTTAAGTTCAGAGACTAAAATAAAAAATAAATCTATTCTAGTCCACCTTAACTGATTAAAAGGTCTGTTGCTAATTTTACATTTGATAATGTTAAGTGTGTTATCTCACTGATTGTTTATTAGATATGACTACATCGCTTTATATAGACTTTCATAAAATGCCTCTGAAATACATTTTATGAAAGAGGTTTTCCTTTTTTGTATATAAGAAATTTGTTTAGATTTTTTTCCCTAAAATGTATCAAAGAAAACTCCTTAACACTAACTCTCAGCTTCAGAGAAATCTTCAGTACCAAAAGGTAAATTTTTGTTTTGTTTTATCAATTATTATTATTTTTTATTTATTTATTTATTATTATATATATATATATATTTTTTTTTTTTCATTATATGAAAATGTGATATAATCTGGGATGCAATAAGTGGAAAAATGAAAATGAATATATATGAATGTATGTAGCTACATAGATTCTCTCTCTCTCTCTCTCTCTCTCTCTCTCTCTCTCTCTCTCTCTCTCTCTCTCTCTCTCTCTCTCTCTCTCTCTCTCTCTCTCTCTCTCCCCCCCCCCCCCCCCCATATCTCTCTTCCTAGAGAAGAGGGACTTTTCCCAAATTACTATGACTATCATCTATTTCCAGTGGTTATGTAATCTATTTAACAATTTCAGCCAAGTTTGACTGGCGGGATGCCTTGAACCTCGAGAGCCAGCTGACAGAGGATGAGATTATGATCAGAGATGCCTTCTATGCATATTGCCAGGAAAAACTTATGCCGAGAATTCTCCTTGCCAACAGAAATGAAAGTAAGTTCTCTCTTTCTCTCTCTCTCTCTCTCTCTCTCTCTCTCTCTCTCTCTCTCTCTCTCTCTCTCTCTCTCTCTCTCTCTCTCTTTTTTTCTCTCTCTCTCTCTCTCTCCTTCTTAATCTGTCTCATAGTCTATAGTCTATTTTTCTGCTCTTCATATCTGCTAGTTTTTCTTTATCAATCCCCATCCCTCTTTTCCGTTTTCTTTCTTTCGCTCTGTCTCTCTTCCTTTTTCTTTTTCTTTCACTCTCAATCTCTCCCTCTTCTTCTTCTTCTTCTTTTTTTACTTTATTTCTCTCCCTCAGTTTTCTTTCTTTCATTCTTAATTTCTTTCTGACTTTCTCTTTTCTCTTCTTTCTCTTTCTTGCACTTAAATCTCTTCTTCATCTTCTGATTTCTAGTACACCCTCAGTTTCTCCCTGCTTGTCACTTATTCTATTTGTATATCTTCTCCTATCCTTCTTACTGTTTTCTCTGTTGTGTCTGTCTTCTCCTGACCATCTTCCTTTTTCTCATTCTCTCCTTCTCAGTTCTCTCTTTTATTCCACTCCATTCTCTCTTTAAAGTTTGTTTGTAATGAAATATTAAATTTAAGATTTGTAGTTAATGTTGCAGTTATTTGAAGATGTAATTTTACGTGTTGCTGTTTCAGATAAGAATATAGAAAATATATTATGTATTATATATTATATATTATGCAAATCCTGCTTTTTGTATCTTTTATCTTTTATCTTTTCCTTTCTTTCTTTCTATCTATCAGTTTCTTTAGAGACCTTATTAATCCTGTTTGGTCAATTGTTATCTCTCGTACAGCCTTCGACAGAGATATTATGAGCGAAATGGGAGACATGGGGGTACTTGGACCTACAATCCATGGCTATGGGTGTCCTGGGGTGTCATCCGTCGCCTATGGTCTCATTGCGCGAGAGGTGGAGAGAGTCGACTCTGCTTATAGGTGAGATTGTTATTATTTTGTCTTTGATATAGGTGTTGTTGCTGTTGTTGTGGTTGTTCTTATTATTATTGTTGTTATTATTTTGTCTTTGATATAGGTGTTGTTGCTGTTGTTGTGGTTGTTCTTATTATTATTGTTGTTATTATTTTGTCTTTGATATAGGTGTTGTTGCTGTTGTTGTGGTTGTTCTTATTATTATTGTTGTTATTATTTTGTCTTTGATATAGGTGTTGTTGCTGTTGTTGTGGTTGTTCTTATTATTATTGTTGTTATTATTTTGTCTTTGATATAGGTGTTGTTGCTGTTGTTGTGGTTGTTCTTATTATTATTGTTGTTATTATTTTGTCTTTGATATAGGTGTTGTTGCTGTTGTTGTGGTTGTTCTTATTATTATTGTTGTTATTATTTTGTCTTTGATATAGGTGTTGTTGCTGTTGTTGTGGTTGTTCTTATTATTATTGTTGTTATTATTTTGTCTTTGATATAGGTGTTGTTGCTGTTGTTGTGGTTGTTCTTATTATTATTGTTGTTATTATTTTGTCTTTGATATAGGTGTTGTTGCTGTTGTTGTGGTTGTTCTTATTATTATTGTTGTTATTATTATTTTATTTATTTTACTTATTCTATTTGTATGTCTTCTCCTATCCTTCTTACTTTTCTCTGTTGTGTCTGTCTTCTCCTGACCATCTTCCTTTTTCTCATTCTCTTTTATTCCACTCCATTCTCTCTTTAAAGTTTGTTTGTAATGAAATATTAGATTTAAGATTTGTAGTTAATGTTGCAGTTATTTGAAGATGTAATTTTACGTGTTGCTGTTTCAGATAAGAATATAGAAAATATATTATGTATTATATATTATATATTATGCAAATCCTGCTTTTTGTATCTTTTATCTTTTATCTTTTATCTTTTATCTTTTATCTTTTATCTTTTATCTTTTATCTTTTATCTTTTATCTTTTATCTTTTATCTTTTATCTTTTATCTTTTATCTTTTATCTTTTATCTTTTATCTTTTATCTTTTATCTTTTATCTTTTATCTTTTATCTTTTATCTTTTATCTTTTATCTTTTATCTTTTATCTTTTATCTTTTATCTTTTATCTTTTATCTTTTATCTTTTATCTTTTATCTTTTATCTTTTATCTTTTATCTTTTATCTTTTATCTTTTATCTTTTATCTTTTATCTTTTATCTTTTATCTTTTATCTTTTATCTTTTATCTTTTATCTTTTATCTTTTATCTTTTATCTTTTATCTTTTATCTTTTATCTTTTCCTTTCTTTCTTTCTATCTATCAGTTTCTTTAGAGACATTATTAATCCTGTTTGGTCAATTGCTAACTCTCGTACAGCCTTCGACAGAGATATCATGAGCGAAATGGGAGACATGGGAGTACTTGGACCTACAATCCATGGCTATGGGTGTCCTGGGGTGTCATCCGTCGCCTATGGTCTCATTGCGCGAGAGGTGGAGAGAGTCGACTCTGCTTATAGGTGAGATTGTTATTATTTTGTCTTTGATATAGGTGTTGTTGCTGTTGTTGTGGTTGTTCTTATTATTATTGTTGTTATTATTATTATTATCAGTAGTAGTAATAGTTATAGTTGTAACTTTTTACTCTTATTTTTTGAAGAGTTTTTTTATTGGTTTTATTTCATATTTTGGTTGATAATAATACAGTATTCCCAATGTCAATGATAATAATACTAATAGCAAAAGTTATGGTATTAGGTAGAAACAGACTTAAAATTCCAGGAATGGGAATATCAAATGAGGTAATATAAGCTTATTAAGTGACTCCTTTTTGAGCCAGTGATTGGGGAGCTTTTTTAGTGCAAAGGAAATTCACAAACGACTTCGGTGGACAGGGCAATTTTTGGGTGGTAGTGGTTTAATATTTTTGTGGAAGGATATTGGTCATTTGCTGCATGGATGTATATATTTTTATTTTGTTTTTTATTTATTAATTTTGTTCTTTTACTTATTTACTTATTTATGTTTTTGTGTTGTGTGTATTTGTAAAGCTTTTCCCCTTTTTGCATATAGTTAACTTAAGTATTTTTGTTGACGGATCAGAGATAGCAAAATTGATTATTTGAGGATTTTACAGTAATGATTTTTCTTTTTTTCTTTTTTTTTCATGTATACTAGGAATTTTAGTGTGGTGGCCTCTTCCTATTTTTCTCTCTTTTGTCTTGTGTTATATTCACTCACTTTCACTTAGGAGTATTCTTTCTCTGCCCTGTAATAATTCACCTTCACGTTATTTCCATATTAAAAAGAGAGATCATGAAGCAAGTGGTTGCCAGGGCCTTTAAAGGAAGTATGTAATTGAATTTTAAAGTGTGTATAATATGAAGTCATAGGGACAGCTTTGCATTTGTTTCTAGGCTATCCAGATTATGTACTTTTGTTTATCTCTTTTGACTGAGTGACTGATTCCTTGTAAATTTATCATGAATAGCGTTAATACTTCCGATATTAGTTTTTTTCTCATGCCAGAGATTAGAGCTAGGAATGCACTGTACTTAACTTCCTTATGTACTATAAGCTTCTTTCGTTTATAAAGTACATCAGTTTAGTTGAAAGAAATTTAGAGACTATGAAATGTAGGTAGTAGCAGGTCCCCTCAACCGCAATTTACTTCACAGCCAGAGGAGAAATCGTGGGTTGCTTTGGATTGACTGAGCCCAACCATGGCAGTGATCCAGCTGGTATGGAGACACGAGCAAAATATGTTCCCTCGGATAAAGTCTACATTGTGAACGGCTCGAAAACATGGTCAGTGTAAACTTGTGTGTATGTGTCTGCCGTTTTGATTTCATGAAAATAAGGAAAATATTTTCTGTTTGTTTTCGTTAACATTTTATATATATTTGGTTTGGTTTGAATTTCATTTTCTTGATAATGTTTTATGTTTATCATCTCATTCTGATTTTTTTTTACTCTTTTATACTGCTTTAGACACATATTTTACTGAAGAACAGTTGTTAGACATCTTTCAAGTTCATCTACAGTACCAAATGTCCAATTCCAAAATGAAAATACATGTGAAATATATTTACCTATCCCCCCCCCCCCCCTTTTCCTCAAAAACAACCACAGGATTACCAACTCCCCCATCGCCGACATTGCTGTGGTTTGGGCCAAGTGTGAAGACGGCCACATTCGCGGGTTCATCTTGGAGAAGGGAATGGCCGGCCTCTCCTGCCCCAAGATTCAAGGGAAGTTCTCCCTCCGTGCCTCCCACACGGGTATGATTTTGATGGACGATGTGGTGGTGCCCGAAGAGAACATCTTGCCCGGAGTCAAAGGGTTGAAGGTGAGGGAGCAAATCATGGATTTTGTTTTATTGGTTTATTTAGTTTTTATGACTATATTGATTTTTTTTTCTCTCTATTTTTTTTTCTTTCTTTCTTTCTTCCTTTCTTTTTTTTGTTCATTACAAAAGAAAAAAAGAAAGCTCTGTTTCTCTTTTGTTTTCTGTTGATCTTGTTATTCTGAGAATGATTACCGAAGATAAATTGAATAAACAAATAACTAAACATACCAGTAAACAAATAACACTCCATTTTAGGGTCCATTCAGTTGCCTAAACAATGCACGCTATGGCATTGCCTGGGGTGCCCTGGGAGCTGCAGAGTTCTGCTTGGATGCGGCACGACAGTACACCCTAGACCGAAAGCAGTTCGGACGGCCACTTGCAAACAACCAGTTGATTCAGAAGAAGATGGCTGATGCACTGACCGAAATTTCCCTGGGCTTGCAAGGGTGTCTGCATGTGGGCCGTCTCAAGGATGAAGGAAAGTGAGTGAAGAAGCCTTTTCTTTTCTTCTTCTCTCTTTGTTCCCTTCCTTCTTTTGCTTTACCATTATCCTCCTAGTCCGTATTTCTCCCACCCCCCTCTCCCCCTCTCTTGTCCCTTTTTGTCTAATCCTGTTCTGTTCCATAGATGGTTTAGTCGGGGCATATGATAAGGCTTCAGTTTTCAGATTCTCTCTTTAACAGTTGTTGGGGTAGCATTTAAAGTACATCTGAAGGGATTTTATGCCATTTTATGACTAATACATATAAGTTTTAAATAATCTATATCATGTGAATTTTGAGAGTTGTATTATATTAATCTGTGGATATATCATATTCAGTAATTCAAGCATAATAAACACCAAATAGCTTTGTAGCTCTGTTTCGTAGACAACAGTTTCGAAATATTGAAGAATTCCATTAACTTTAACCCATTCACCCCATGTGACAAGAATATATGCCATGCCCACTTTGATACACGTTTATTTATTGTATTTACAAATAGATGGCTCTACAAATTCTTAATCACCAAATAGCCAGTTATCAAGAACTACCTATTTCACCTGTTTACCCTTTTCCTTCACTTTAGGAAGGGGCTTTTTGTATCATATCATTGTCTGAAATATTCTAAGGACAATTTATTAATCATAACATCAATAACAATAATAACAGTATCGATAGCAATGGTATTCATTTTCCCGCCAATTCAATGAATGGGCAAATCAGGGTTGGTAACTAGGGCCTGCTGATAGACTCCCTGCCAGCTGAGCACATGTGGAGCCATCTGTATGTAACAAAATTCACTAAAAACTACAGGGGACAGAACATAAATCCGGGGTGAATGGGTTAAGTAATTACCTCTAATGGTGACTGGTTGTATGCACCTTGTGTTTACCCTTCTCACTGATTGTTTAGAATATTTAATTTATTTTATAATGATATTAGTATTGTCTAGTAATAATCATAGTGTTATGGATAATAACAACATGAACAATTTTTTTGGGGGGGGGAATCCAGAAAACTCAATGGAGGGAAGAATAAGATGAGGGCAATTGATTCCTTGGTGGCTGAGCAGTTGTGAAGCCATCTGTGTGTAAATACATTTCACAAAACATACTGTAGTGAACATCACTTTTTCCTGGTGGCATTGGGATAAGAGTTCTCACATCTTTATATGTATTCAAATCAAGCCTTTTTCACACCTTACAGTGTTCATTATGTTTGTCATCTTATTGATATTTTATTATTTTTTCCCTATATCTGTTTACATGATTCCTGTGCTTTGTTTTGAAGTTGTACTTACAAGAATATATGTATTTATGTATTTTTTTTCTGGCCAGAACCCAGTTTATTATAACTTGCTTGTCTTTCAGGGCTACCCCAGAGATGATCAGTCTGTTGAAGAGGAACTCCTGTGGAAAGGCCCTGGACATTGCCCGTCAGACCAGAGACATGCTTGGTGGCAACGGCATCTCAGACGAATACCATATCATCCGCCACGTCATGAACCTAGAAGCTGTGAACACATACGAAGGTGAGATACAGTTGTTGGGAAATTGTAAAAAGCTCTCTGTGGAAATGTGGAAATGTAGAATGTGAAACCTTCTGGCTTTATACTATGTAATCTTTAGTTTTGATGTTTTTTAGTTTTCTTGGTCAGAAAAGGTTTCTTGTTTTACGAATGTCTCTTTATCTAATTTAATTTTTTTCCCTGTGGCTTTACAGGAACGCACGACATCCACGCACTCATCCTTGGCCGTGCCATTACTGGACTGCAAGCCTTCAGCGGAAAGTAGAATTGCAGGGTTTTTGCAATAATCGTGGTGCCTATCTAGGGTATAGTCTTATATTTTTCCATTGAACATGCACAAGCTATATAGATTGTGAAATTAATGTTCCCTACTTTTCTTTTATCGTCTTCTAAGGGAGTGTAGAACATATAAGATAGATATTATTTGATTTTAGTTTATATAAGATTTATTCAATGAGCAGCATTAGAGCTCTGAAATTGAAGTTGGCAATTTTGGCATTTTACAGAAATAACTTGATTAGTCTTTCTAACGCTGTCATGCTATAACTTATATGAGAATAGTATGATAAGGTCTTTGTATAGAAAACAAAACTTCAGCATTATTGATTGTTAAATTTGTTACTTTTCATTTAATTGAATAGACGTGAATCATGAATCTCACAAAGATAAATGTACTGTACAGGCCTACTAGACCTGTCATTGAGTGCTATGCAATTAACTATTATTATTATTATTATTATTGTTATTGTTATTATTTTTTTCTCTCTTTTTTCTTTTGTTTTTTCTTAGTCATCTAAGTAATGACGAATATACTCTGTGAGAGGAAGTTTATCTTCAGATTATTTTTGTATAAAGTAATGTCTCTGTTGCAGCTCTTCAAAAATATATATATTGATAGGACCTTGTTATTGATTATCCATGTGTGTATTATATTTGTGAAGGTTATTGCATGTTAGAATGAGTGCTTCCATAAATATCGTACTCAGTAAGTGTGTCACCCTTCATTTATTACTTAAGAAATATAGATTTGAATATATGAATTTCATATACTTTGTCTTTTTCTCTACCTTGTAAGAGAGGAAAGAAATGGAAGATGAAGCATTATGATTTTGAGAGGCTTATGTCAAACTTATCTATCATGACAGTTACTTCAGGTACTAAGTAACCGATGAAAAAAGAAAATTTATGGGCAAGTGAATTGGGCCTTCCTTTTTAACCCACTGCTGATGGGCATGATGTGTACATGTATGCCATGCCCACCATGAGTTTACTTGCTTAATTGTTTTTACACATAGATGGCTACACTTGTACTAAGTCACCAATGAGCCAATTATGAGTACTACCTCTCTCGCTTGTTTACCCTTTTCTTTGATTCACGAAAATGTTTTAGGTTATCTTATTTTGCTGTTACTAATGTTTATATCATTATAGTAATTATAATGTTTATAATAAAAATAACACCATCAACATTTATAGTACTAGTAAAAAATACATTTTTCCGGCCAATTCAAGGAAAGGTGAAATCAGGTAAGGTCACAAGGTCTACTAATTGACTCCTTTGTGGCTAAGCTCTAGCAGAGCCATCTATGTGCTGAGACATTTCTCAAAAAAATATGAAAAATGAGCATAGCATTTCCCCCATTTTTTATTCATATTCCCCAGCGACATTGGGCTAACCTAGTCCATGTCTGGACCTATCCAACCACAGTAAAAGTAAAGATAGATTGTTGGATAGGGAGAGCCAGAATTTACTTCAATATAACTCATAATTTATTCTGTTGTTGAATCTTATAGACTTTGATTGTAACATTTTATCAAGGAATAATCTGAACATCAGTTGAAAGGTAGTATTGTTTTATGAAATGTTTATGCATGTAGATGACTCAGCAAGCACTTAGACACAAAGGAGATAATTAGATGTTGTGACCACACCTGATTTCATATTTCTTTGAGTTTGTGGAAAATATATTTTTTTACTAATGCTATCAGTATACATGTTGTTATTTTTATTATAGGCTTTTTTTATTATTGTAGTGTTATTGACACTACTGACAGCAATATTAGATACCTGAAAATATTTTTGGAAATCAAGGAAAAGGGCAAACAGGTGAGACAGGGAGGGCTTGTAATTGATTAATTAGTGACTAAGAGCCATTTATGTGTAAAAACAATTAATAGATTAAACTCACACAGCTTGGGGTTAAACCTTTTCACAAGAATGCTGATGGCAGTGTGAGCTAGGATTTTAGTTCAGGAATTCCTTGACCACACCTCAGGTAGCCAGGCTATACAAAGAACTAGTTTGTTCTCAGAATGGAGTACTGTTCGTATGTGTGGGATCAGTCGCCTTCTGTTACCATGGATAGCATGAGGCACCCAAAGGCAGGTGGCCAAAAATTCCCAAAGTGTTTCATTGAGTAACCCTAAATCCCTTGCTTGTTGTCATGGGGGAGGGGGGTTAGGAGACCAGGATTAACCCATTCCCGCCGGGCATGCCATGCCATGCCCACTTTGAGATTAATTGTTAGATTGGGAGTTATTAATCTCATGTCAAGAACTGTCAACAGTTACTGCACACTGCCCCTTTTTTCCATTATTTCTGATTATTAGTTAACATTCCAGTTAATGTGTTTCTTTAAACTATTGAAATAACTGTGTTATTTATGCCACACAAAATAGTGCCTAGAATATAAACTGCATGAAATGTTAAAATGTCTGTTTACAAAATGGCACATTGATAACAAAATTCATATATATATATATATATATATATATATATATATATATATATATATATATATATATATATACATATATATATATACATATATATATATATATATACATATATATATATATACATATATATATATATATATACATATATACTTATATACATATATACATATATACATATATATACATATATACATATATACATATATATACATATATATACATATATATACATATATATATATATATATATATATATATATATATATATATATATATATATATATATATATATATATATATATGTATATATATATGTGTGTGAATTGTATTCATGTTGACAAATGTAGAAAAGGTATGAATAAGAATGTATGACGAATTTCTGACGAAGATATAATTGAAACCTGTCAAATATATCTCTTGTATTGTGAAGATATTCATTCTTATTCACACCTTTTCTACAAATATGTGTGTGTGTGTGTGTGTG